CTTTCGTTCTTCATTATGTGTCGGGGTAGAATTGCTGGGCTGTGGTAACTCGGTGTTGACCTTTGGAGGAATCACCAGTGTCTGTGCCATTCTACGTTTCCATCAGCCATATGGAGGGTTCTGACTTCTCTAGAGTCTCTCCGGCACTTGTTATTATCTTTATTATCTTTCTTACTACAGAATAAGTTCAGAACACAGTTCAGTCAAGTTCTCCCCCTTTTCTAACAAAGATCGCCATTCTCTCGTGCCCAGGAACACACGCTGTGTTTTGTTCTGAAGGCCCACAAAAGCACTTTACCATTCCCATTGCTGCAACCTTCTCTTCATCATGAGACACTTGTTTCTGGTACTGGAGATTGGATCCAAGGCCTTCACATTAAGCTGTGCCCCCAGCTCTTTTGTCATTTTTATTTTGAGACTCTGTCTAACTAAGTTACCCAGGCTGGACTTGAACTTGTGACCTTCCTGCCTCAGCCCCCAGACTGCTGGCATCATGAGTATGTGCCACCACGCTGGCTATATTCTCTGAGACGACAGAAGCTCTCTGTGGCAGCCTCTTTGCCCTCCTGAGCCTTCCCCATCAACCCCTCTGATGTCCACACTTCTGCCATAAGCCTGCAAGGATCTGGTGTCTTTGTTATCATGCACCTCGCAGTCTCTCTACCCTCTGGCCAATTCTAGAACCAGCTCCACGTTTCAGTTGTTCATTACAGCAGCGTTTTATTTCCTGGTACCAGTACACATGTTAGTTTCCTGGGGCTGGTGTAATGAAATACCACAGAACAACAGAAACTTCTCTCTCAGTCTGGAGCCCAGATGTGTGGACTCAAGGTGCAGGAGGAGCCAGCTCCCTGTGAAGGCTCTGTAGAGGGCTCTTCACCCCTGCCTAGACTCTGGTTGGTGTAGCCGCCCTTTGGCATTCCTTGTCTTATGGTTGCAATCTTCCAACCCCAGCCGCTGTTGTCCCATGGCCTTAGCTCTGTGCCTGCATCTATGTCTTCACATGGCCTTCTTTCTTGGGCCTGGTGGCACACGCCTGTAATCTCAGCACAAAGGAGGCCAGCCTGAATTACATAGTGTGGCCCTGCTCAAAATACAAAACCAAACACATGGTCATCTTAACAGAGCACTGATCTCTGGATTTAGGGCCCACCTCAATCCACTGCCCTCATTTTAAATTGATGATATTTGCAAGGACTCTAAGTCCAAATAAATTGGCATTAATAAGTATCAGGGGTGAGGACTTTAGCGTATCTTTCAGAGGAATACAATTCAGACCACAACAGGCAATTTGTGGCTTCCTATGAATTTTTCCATTTCATCGAAGCAGTCTGATTTGTCGACTCAGCATCCTCAAGGTCCACCGGAGATCTTGGTTCTAGGATCAAAATCTGTGAATGCTCCAGGCCATTGTGTAAAATGGCATAGTCAGATGTAGTGGTGCACATCTGTAATTCCAGAAATTGGGAAACTAGACAGCGGGATTGACATGAGTTTGAGGCCAGCCTGGGCTACATAGCAAGAACCTGTCTCCAGAAAAAGAAAAACAAAAGGTACAGTATTTGTGTGTAAGCCACAACAGATCTGTATGCTTTAAATCTTCTGTAGCTACTTGTAATATCTAATACAGTGTAAATGCCATGTGAATAATTGTTATGTTGTTTTGTTTAGGGAATAATGATAAGGAAAAAGTCTTATAGGTTCAGAACAGATGCAATTTTTTCTTCAAAACATTTTTTTTCTGGTACTGGGGATCAGACTCAAGACCTTGCACTTGCCAGGCAGGCGTGGTGCCACTGAGCTACATCCCCAGCCATTCTTCACATAATTTTGATCTACACAGTTAGTTGAATCCATGGGTGTGGAGTTCATGGATACAGAGGGCTGTCTCTATACAGTTGTTAATGGTATTCTCTTATAATCCTTTTCATTTCTATAAGATTGGTAGTAATGTCCCTTCTTTCATTCCTGATTTTAAAAAGTTATTTATTTTTGGTGGCTTTTTTTAGACAAAATCTCATTATGTTAGTTCAGGTTGTCCTTGAAATCATTGTGTAGCCCAGGGTGGCTCAAACAGCAATCCTCCTGCCTCAGCCTCGCGAGTGCTAGGATTACAGGCGTGCTCTACCACACCTGCCCCATTTTTGGTTTCTTCTTTTTTTCATTTTTGCTTTCTTGACACAAGGTCTAATTCAGGCTGGCCTTGAACTCACTATATAGCGCAGGCTGGCCTTGATTTCATAGTGATTTTCGTGCCTCAGCCTCTCAAGTGCTTGAATCACAGACATGTGCTGTCATGCCTGGTCTCATTCCTGACTTTCTTTTTTTTTTCAGTACTGGAGATTGAACTCAGGACCTTGCACTTGCAAGGCAGGTGTGGCATCACTGAGCTACATCCTGGCCTTTTTTTTTCCTACCGGGGATTGAACTCAGAACCTTGCACTTACCAAGCAGGCTCTCCTGACTTTAATAGCTTGAGCTTTTTTTTTGTCCATGGTCAGTTTAGCTAAAATAGATTTATAAATTTTGTTAATCTTTTCAAAGGATTAACTTTTGACTTTGTTGCTTTTCTCTATTTTTCTGTTCTTTATTTTAGTATTTTTTGTGTGTGCAAATCTTTATTGTTTCCTTATTTTTTGGGGGGGTCAATTTGCTCTTTACCCAGTAGAGAATTATTTGGGATCTTTCTTATTTTTTTAATGTATGAGATATGATTGAAAAATGTTTGATAACATTGGAGAATGTTTAAACTTTTAAAAATGAACTATGGTAGAAGATACATTGTCATGACTTCTGTCACTTTGAAAACATTTATCCTATTGTTCTTGCTACTTCCTGCAGCATTTCTGGAAGTCCTCTTTTGTGCTTTAGTTGCTTTGTGGTGGCTGCTTTGATGGTCACTTTGACTTTGGAGAAGAGCTAGAAGTTGTGTCGTGCTAGATCTGGTGAATAAGGTGGCTGAGGACACGCTGTGATTTTTTTCTTTTTTGTACCAGGGATCGTACTCAGGACTTTGCACTTTGAAGGCAGGCACAACACCATTGAGCTAAATCTCTGGCCTTCGATGTAATGTTTTTACAAACCTGCCTTTTTGTTGACATTTAGCAGTGTCATTCACTGTTATTTTTGTTTCTGTTTTTGTTTTGGTACCAGGGATTGAATTTGGGTCCTTGCGCTTGCAAGGCCACTGTTATTTTTTATCAGATCTTGTAAAAACACACTCAAGAAAGAGGACTTCCAGAATTTCTTCAAAGGGACAAGAGCTGGGCGTGGGGGCACACCTGTAATCCCAGCACTTGGGAGGCTGAGGCAGGAGGATCTCTGTGAGTTTGAGACCAGCCTGGGCTACATAATGAGTTCCAGGTCAGTCTCAACTACATAGTGAGACCTTGTCTCAAAAAACAAAAAACAAAACCACCAAAAACAACAACAACAACAACAAAGGGACAAGAAATGGGCAAGGATATAGCTCAGTGGCACCACGCCTGCCTGAGTTCACAAGCAAGGTCCTGAGTTCAATCCCTGGTACTGCAAAAAGAAAGTAGGGGGACAAGAACCACTGGGATAAGTGTGTTCAGAGCAAGGGAATTGGCAATGTGTCTTTTTCTGTAACTTTTTTACAAATTTAACATTTACCATATATTTTGATCACCCCCTTTAAGCATTTTTATGGTTATCATTTTCATCTTTATCTTTGTATCTTAGTAGACATTTTGTCCCCAACACTTTGTGGGAAAAAGCCTAGCACAAAGGCAGGGACCCCAGAGTTGTCATCGGGTGTTTACTACCTCTCCTTCTTCCTGGTTTGAGCCAGGAGAGACAACCTTGGGAAATTCAGAAAACCTGGGGTCCTGGGTAAAGAGTGGGCTGGAGGGAGGCTGACGTAATGCTGCAGGTAACGTGGGCAGTCAGGGTGGTCATGGCTAATGAAGAGACTGTAGGACGTGCGCTGGGCCTTTCATGGCACTTTAAGTATATTTGTTTGTTGTTTAGTTTTTTGTTTTGTTTCATTTTTTTGGTACCAGGGATTGAACTCGGGTCCTTGTGCTTGCGAGGCAGGCAGCAGAACCACTGAGCTAAATCCCCAGTCCTGTTTAGTTATTTTTTAAACAGGGTTTTGCTATATATTCCAGGGTGGCCTTCAATTCACTATGTTAAACTCATGGTGATCCTGCTTCAGCCTCCTGAGTGCTGGGATTGCATGTGCCACCACAGCCAGCCACCTAAGTGTTATCTGTGTGGTGTTTGTTTATTTTTGTATGGTGATTGAACTCAGGACCTGTACTTGCAAGGCAGGCGGTGGCACCACTGAGCTAAATCCCCCGGCCCCACCTAAGTGTTTTTTGGGGGTTTTTTTGTTTTGTTTTGTTGTACCAGGGATTAAATTTAGGACCTTTCACTTGCAAGGCAGGCGGCAGAACCACTGAGCTACATCCCTGGCCCCCACCTAAGTGTTTTTAATCAGCTTTCTTCTCTCCTGACTGGATGATTTTTATTCTGTTTTTACTGTTGTGTAAGGTAATCTGTGTTGTGTGTGCATCCTGATGATATAAGTAATGTGTTGCTTTCCAGTTTGCTTAATAATTACTATAGCACAGAAAAAGCACAGGTAATAGTTTTGCTTGCTTTTATGTTGCAAATTGGATGGATGAATGGATGATGGATGGTAGATGAGAATGGTTCTGGTAGTTTATTTTTTTGTTGTTGTTTTGAAACAGGGTCTCACTATGTAGTTTAAGCTGGTCTTGAACTTGTGGCAGTCCTCCTGCCTCTGCCTCCCGAGTGCTGGGATTATAGGTGTGTGACACCATGCTCCTCTGGTAGCTTCTTATAAAGAGGTGGCTGCCAGCATGCTCAGAGTTCTGAGGAGCTTGCTTTTACAAGCAGTCTAAACTTCAGAAAGCCCAGGAAGTGTCCTGTAAACTGGTCTTCTCTGCCTGCCACCCCCCAAGGCTGTCTCGGCCTGAGGTGGAAGGTGTAATGCCTGTGTGTCTCCCCAGGGTGTCTGTGAGGAAATGACCTATGAGGAAATTCAGGATCATTACCCACTGGAGTTTGCCCTGCGGGACCAGGACAAGTACCGGTATCGGTACCCCAAGGGGGAGGTAGGTGGGTCATGAGGACTCAGTGCCAACACTTGCTGCCTTTCTGGAGGCACCACCTGTGGGGTGTGACCCTGAATGTAAGCTGAGCTGAGTGGTCCTGGCTTTCCTAGGACTCTGTGATATCTCAGATCCCATGGGATTCCCGGGCCAGCCTTCCCCAGGACACTTGAGTGGCCAAGAAGTCTGGGCGCAGTGCCAGGCCTGCGATCCAGGTCTTGCCTGCTTGTGTCTCTTCCCCAAGCCTTCACCTCTCCTCTCTGGATGCTCTTCCTTGTCACAGGGTGACCTCATCCTCCCTGCAGTTTCAGGGTCACCCAGCTCAGGTTCCACACTCAAGGAGACCTTCCCCAGGTCAACTATGGCCACCGCAAGGCAACCTGTGCTAGTTTCCTTTCCTCAGATGCCTTGGTCAGCACAGCCCAGGTCAGGACCCAGGTTTCCCATTGACTCCAGCATCTCCTCTCCCTTCTGGGAGCTGTCCTTGGACAGCGATCAAATAAAACTTTCCCCAGAGGGGGTTGGGAATGTGGCTCAGTGATATGCATAGTATGCATAGGCCCCAGTTAGATCCCGAGCACTTTAAAAAGAGAGGAAAAGACACAAGTGTGTATCTACACACGTGCACACACAGAGGCTCCCCACCAGCTGGCAGGCTCCCAGGCTCTGGGTTGTGCTGTCCTCAGGAATAGTGTGGTTCTGAGTAACGTGACTCATCCTGTAAGACAGAGTCCAGATTTAGAACCAGCCAGATCACAGTAGAGAGAAGCAAAATAGGGAAAATTTGGTTAGGAAATTTCCAAAAGAATTGATTGAAGATTTCCCCAGAGCTACCCGGGTAAGCACAAAGCAGTGTGTTGGTGTTGCTTTCTAGTGAGAGTGTGGGGCATACTGAGTTCAGCTACTGGAGCCGTGTTTTCAAGAGTAACAGACTGCATACAGGGGAGTGAAACTCTCCCCACAGGAAGGCCCACTTTTCTGGTAGAAATCTCGAAATCTGCCAGCTGAAGCATTGGCCCAGAGACCGGCAGAGGCCGGAACGCACATCACCATAGTTGGGGGGGCGATCCCACAGGCGGGTGTTCATGGGGACCTCAGGTATTTCTGACAGTCCCATTCCAGGAAGCCCTGAGACCTCTGCTTCCCTCCCCACCGCCCTTGTATACCCTGTGCACCGTTTCCACCAGCCACTGTCACCAGTACAGGAAGTCCACACTGGAGGGTTGGGACAGGGCCCATGGGTGGGCAGGAGCTTGCCCCTGGGGTGGGATCCTGAGGCTGAGTCCTCTCAGTCCTATCGGGGTGTGTGTGGCCCTCGGAGTGCGGAGAGGCCCCTTTCCCGGGTCTATCCTCACGCCTAACAGCTCCTCATCAAGCCAGATATCTCACTATGGCAGGCCTCTGGGGGCAGCTGTCCACCTTGCCCCCAGGAGCCAGGCTGAAGAGGCCTGGCCACACTCTCCAGAGGTGCTTCTATTCTTGCCTCTGGAGCTGGCCTCAGGGACACCTTCATGTTTGCCCTTGCAGTCCTATGAGGACCTGGTGCAGCGATTGGAGCCTGTCATCATGGAGCTAGAGAGGCAGGAGAATGTGCTGGTCATCTGCCACCAGGCTGTGATGCGCTGCCTCCTGGCCTACTTCCTTGACAAGGCAGCAGGTGAGGGCCTTGCCTCAGGGAGGCAGGGCGTGTGTGTAGGTGTGTGCGTGTGTGCGTGCGCCTGTGCAAGCGCATGAGTGCGGGTGAGAAGAGTCAGTCACTGGGCATCCCCTACACGTCAGCCCTCCTTTCCTTGTCTGCAGAACAGCTGCCCTACCTCAAGTGTCCACTGCATACGGTCCTGAAGCTCACTCCTGTGGCCTATGGTAAGGGGATGCCTCACGCGTTGACCCTGGATCACTTAAACCCTGGCTCTCTGCAGGGCTCCATGCCTTTTGACAAATCCTTGTCAATCCCATCGGGGGCCCCCCTTCCTACCTTCTCAGTATGCTTTTTAAGTTAGTTATAAAGAAGTTGCCATGCTGGTTTTGGGGTGTAGCTCAGTAGAAGTGTTCACGCCCTGTATTCAGTGTTGAATACCACAAAGTGAAAAGTTTATATGACCACAGGAAGCCTCCTGGGGACCCTTTCTTAACTGTTACCTGGCCCACCTGCATAGGGGCTTTTCTACTGTTGTATCTAAAACCTCCCTAGCACCAGGCTCCCAGGGCTGAGCCTTAAACTATTTTGGGTGCCAGGTGGTTTGTGTTCACCTCACCTCTCACTGTACTGGAAGGGACCTCAGGCAGCTTCCTGATCTCCTGGGACACAGGACAGCTGGTATCACTGCACTGTGTGATAATCCCCTTTGTTCCCTTACAGTGAGCGCTCAGCCCACATTGATTGGATCTCATGTGTCAGGGCGAGGGTGTCAGTAGTTTGGGTCCCAAGATTAATGTGTCCGTGTTGAGTAAGGCCCATTGCTGCTCTGACCACCTGCAGTCCCTGGGATGGGCAGCTTGGGGTCTGTGTCTGCACAGTCACACATCTGCCTATCTTCCCAGAGCTGCCTGAGGTGAGAGGGCTCGGTGAAGGTGAGCAGCCACCCCATCTCAAACCCCAGTCTCCTCTGTCCTCTGTGCTTCAGGCTGCATCACGGGGCAGGACTGGATTTCCCTCTTCCCTTTGGCAGGTTGTAAAGTGGAGTCCATATTCCTGAATGTGGCAGCTGTGAACACGCACCGGGACAGGCCACAGGTAGCACTGGGGTCACTGCTGGGTGAGGGCCTGATTGTAGGGTGCCCAGACTCCACATTTGCAGGGGCCCTGCTTGGGGCTTTTCTCTTTCTCGAGCCAAAGGAGCCTGAGTCATCTGCCAAGGTTGTTCTCTGCTGCATCTTGGGCTGGGGCTTGGTTAGGTGTTCTAAGGCCAGCTGCCCCAGGATGGAGGAGGTCTTTGGAACTGGGCCACCGAGGCAGAAAAGGCCGCCAAGTCCAGCCTGAACAGCAAAACAAGATTCTGTCTCAAAAAAACCAAAACCAACCAAACAAATGGTATTGTACCTTGTTGGAGACCTTCTTGCAGAAGGATTCTCACTGCCTCTATTCTCTGAAGTCCTTGGTTTTTGTGTTTTGATTGTTTATGTTTTGACCTTGAGCTTGTAGCAGTCCTCTTGCCTTAGCCCCAGGAATGCTGGGATTGCAGGTGTGCACCACCATGCTCAACTCTGAGGTCTTGTTCAAAGTAGAAGCTCTTGAGGTTCTGCCCAGAACCACTCTAGGTGCCCATTTGGGTCCCTCCACAGTGCCATTTACTTTCCCTGAGGTAAGGGCAAGACCTTCTCCCCTTCTAGGACCCCAGACCCACTTCCCAGAGTCTGTTGTACCAAGAAGACTCCTGCTCCTTCAGTTATACCTATTGCCCCCATAGTCATGCATGTTTGGGCCTGGGGTCACTATTGAGGGTCCATACTTTGGGCCTAGAACGCTGGGTGGCCTTGCTCACCTGCAGCCCCTTCGGCTTTAACCATGCAGGCAGAGGTGTAGATGTGCCCTGTTCCTTTTCAAGTTTGCTGCCCACAACCAAGGCCAGTCATCAAGAAGGCCTCTTCCCCTTTCTCTTAGAACCTGTGAGTGCCTTGCTAAATTTGGCCAAGGCCCAGTCTGAAATGCATAGGTTACGGAGAAAGGTGCATCCTACCAGGCATCCTTTGTGCCAAGGAAGGCCCAGGTAATACTCAGCCCACAGCACTGACAAGGTGGTGGTGACAGTGGCCCTGGAGCCTTCGGGGGCTGACCTTGCCACCTGTGCAGATCTGGGAAGGTCACGCTGCACGGGGCTGTGGCTCCGCTCACTGGTGACTTGCTCCTGCAGGTGATGGCTCTAAGGACACAAGGCTGAGAAGAGGGCCACAGAATCCCAGCTCACATAGGACAGCCTCATAGAGGTGAGGGGAGTCTCGGCTCCCCTCTTCCTCGGGCCTGACATACCCTGAGTTTACAGGCCAGTGAGGGAACTGGGCTGTATCATTTTGTGGGGACCATTTATATTTGAGAGGTTCAGGGGACCCTGCGGCCCAGTCCTGAGGGGACAGACCAGGTTGTCCCCAGACTGATGGAGCCACATCTGACACCTGTCCACTGACACAACTGGAAAGGAGGCAGCCCCAGGAGCTGCACCCCTTCCTGCCCCTACTCTGAGGAAGCCAGCTCCAAGCTAGGGGTTTCTCCCCAACTCCCTTGCCCTGCAGCAGAGTGGGCACAGCCTAGCTTTGGCACATGCCTCACCCGCCGGCAGTGGAGCATCCACTGTGTTCCAGGAAACTCGTGACCCTGCACTCTTAGGTCAGAGTCGATCCTGTGGCTGGGGCTCCAGAGGTAAGGAGTGTGACTGTCCATCTGGCCACAGAGACGAGGAAGGCAGGCGGCAAATGTCTCATCTACTTCTGCTGCAGGGCTGATGTTCTGTGTTTCTATCATTGTGCAGAATGTGGACATCTCTCGGCCTCCGGAGGAAGCCCTCGTCACAGTCCCTGCTCACCAGTGACCGCTCCTCATCTACTGTGTTGCCTGGGCAGGTGTAGGTCTCTATGGATGAGGTCATTCCAGGCTCCTGGTGTGTGTAACGGTGACCATCTAAGAACACTCTCAAAGCTGTGCATGGCTGACAGCACCCAGACCCCCTGGCACGGCCCACTGCCTCCTTGTTGATAGTGACAGGGTTCACATGGCTGCTGACTTGCCACTAGAATCACCAGGCTGGATGGTGCTGCACGGGCAGGACAAGACTGCCTGCCACTGGCTGCTCTCAGATGGACCTGTTTCGCAGGGCAGTACCCTGAATGTGAAATGGAAAGTCTCACTGAGATGTCCCCACTGTGGCCCGGCTGCCTGGGTTAGACCCTGCAGAGCCTCTCCTCTCTTCTCTGGGCTCCTTGCTGAGCCAGTGGCCAGGTTTTCGTGGGACCCTGGATCTCTGCTGCTATAGGTGATAGAGAGAGCTCTCTCTGTGCTTCTCTGCCAGGAACCAAGGAGTGGCAGCCACTGGCCCTGGGTCCGTGTCACTCATCCTATGGAGACCCAGGAAAGCAACGAGCTCACCCCAGCATGTTATGGGGTGGAGGAAGCACATGTTGGGGGGTAGAGGTGGACATAGCACTGTGACTGCCCCTTCCTGACTGTGCATGCAGTGGACTCAGATGATCTGGTTGCCGATTCAGCTGCCCACAGGGGAGCCACACAGACAGGGCAGCTGCACACAGGTAGGCAGCAGGGAGGAAGCTGCCTCTCTGCTGGGGCTGCCTCTGTCCACTCAGGAATGTACCCTGGTGGCAGAGATGTGATTTCACCATAATGCTGCTGAAACCTTGCTGTGGTCTCATAAAACTTGTGCCACTGTTTGTTGGTCTCTCCCTGTGGGACTGAGGAAAGGATAAAACCCAGAGGTAGCCTCTGTCCAAGAGTGGACTTCTCTAACGCTGATACAGCTTTGGCTTATGCACCTGTGAGCCAGGTAAAAATGGCCTTACGAAGCCTGGTATCTGTCTCAGCCCTGAGTTCTTTTGGATTTGGGCAGTGGGTTCTGGCTCCAGTTCATAGCTGGCCAACAGACTGGCCGGCAGGTTGTGGGGTGGGCCAGAACGTACCTAGACTAGTAATTGAGGCCCTGCTGTCCACCGGTGGCCTTGGTGGAGTCAGGCCCCTGGACCTCAACCTTGCTTTGTACCCAGAACCGTTCTAGGCCTGTGCCGGGCAGAGCAGCCTGCCTTTTACAGCCCCCCTGGGCTTTACAGCCTCCAAGTGCCACCTGTCCCCAGGGAAAGTCAGGGTGTCTGTCCCTGGCCAGTGCTCTCTCATTCCCATGTGCCGCCATGGCTTTGGACAAACGGAGAGATAACCTGGGATGGGCCCGGGGTAGGGTCCTCCTGGACTCATCTCCTATCAAAGACCCTGAGCCTTGCTTCAGGCCCAAGGACCACACATTTGCCTGTGGGACATGGCACTGTAGCCTGTGTCCCTCAGGGTTTTGATGACTTCTGTCACCTGGATATACTCACTTGTTAGCCTTAGTGGGTTCCTCTGGTCTGTGGCTACTCACATGCATCTGGATGTCACCTGGGACAAGACACAGAGGACTTTTTTCTCTGTGTATTGAGGGGAGGCAGGAGTTGATGGACGCAGATGTTCTATGAGGGCTAGAGACGGCAGAGGGGAATCTGGGGCCCGGGTGTGCGCAGGCGCAGCCCCTCCCTGTTTCTGTCCTAAAGCAGCCTCTGCATGGCAGCCACTGCCTAGGTGGCTGCCAGGTTTTAGCTGGGATGGTTGATGTGCCCGGGGTGCAGAGGTCCTGTTTTCCCAGGAGTGAGTGACACTGGTTCTTAACCACAAATTGCACTGTGTCTGGCATTCTTTGCAATAAATACTTTTTTAAAACCTAACAATTTAAGGTTGATTTTGTAGCCATTTCTCCATCCCAAGGTGTTCTTTCTGCAGCATTGTAGAGGACCCATGTTGTAGTCTTTCTCATAGGTCTGTATTGGGATCCTGGATTCAGCTTCCCCGCTGGCAGCACCCTCACTGGAGAGGAATTGTGTCACCTTGGCATGAGCCCTGGGAACACATGGGCACCTAAGGTGTCCACCCTTTTCCCGAAGGTTTGTGAGGTGATTTTATTTGGGAAATTGCTGGTACTTGTTATCTGTCGCCTTTTTTTTTTTTTTCCCCCCACAAGAAAATCCTGTCAATCTAAGGAGGTCTTTGTTGAGTCTCATCCTGACTCCCTCTTTAGTTTGGCTTTTCCCTTTCTGCCTGTCCTGTCTGTGCAACTCTCTTTACCAACACTCCTCTCCCCTCCTGGGCCAGTATCACTCTGAGAAATCTCACCTCCCCACAGAGCCCTGTTTGTCCTCAACATTTTCTAATACATCATCCTATTTTACTGGAACCGCTAGTTCAAATTACCGTGTGTGTCTTGTTAGGAGGACAGTGCCTAAACCTTAGAAAATGGAATGTAAGCCCAACTGCCTGAGTGGGAGGCTTGTGGTTCATTCTCCCAGGTTTTCCCTATTTCCCTGCTTCAGTTTGAATGTGGCTGGATGTGTCCCACAGAATTCAGGTTTGGAAGCTGGGTGCTCAGTGTGTCCGTGTTGGGAGGTCATGGGAGACACTGCCTTTGGAAGGGATTGATGTAGTTCTTGTGGGACCCTGTCTGGTTGGGTGAATGAGTTGCTGTACAAGAGTAGGACTGGCCCTGTCCCTTTCCCTGGCTGTATCTTGCCATATAATCCCTCTTACCCATGTGTCCACCACGATGTAATGGAGCCTACACGCCTTACCAGAGGCCAGACTAGCTGGAACTGCCCATCGTGGCTTTTCGGTCTTCAAAGCTTTGAGCTCAAGAAACCTGTTTCGTGACTAGGCATCTAGGTGAGTGTTAGAATGTGTGGTTAGTAAGTACCAGGCTCTGGGTTCAATTCTCAGCACCCAAAATATGAAAAGTAATTCATATTTATTTTTTGGTACTGAGCCTTCACATTTAAGCTATACATCCCCAGCCCCACTCCTACTCCACCCCTTTTTAAATTATGAGACAGGATCTCATAAGTTGCTAAATTTCCCAGCCTGGGACTTCCATGATCCTCCCAGAGTGCTGGGTTTATAGGTGTGCACCACCACACTCAGGTCAGAAGGCATTCTTTTGCTATAGTAGCCATCCTTCTGAGTTTCACCCCTATAATTGTTGACTTCAGACATGCTGGGATCCATCTCTAGTCAAAGGCCCTGGAGGCATTCAGGAGTTGGGAGGAGGGGGCCAAAATCACTCCCTTGTGGTGTCTTTCAGGGAAGGACCCTTGCTTCAGTGGGCAAAGGGTGCCAAAGAGGCTTGGGGTTGATGGTGATTTGATTCTTCCAAATCCTTTCACATATCTTCATTCATTAATTCAACATTATTAAGTGCCTACCATGTGTTGGAGATACAGAAGTAAGCACAGCATGAGTTCGTGGCTAGACAGGAAGACCCTGTCTCCAAAACAAAACAAAAACCCAACAGCAGAAACTAAAAAAACTAAGCATAGCAAAGTTCTACTGTCAGAGGACATTCTAGAGGTGAGAATAAACAAATGATAAAACACGTAGTATGTTAAATGGTGCTGGACCAAGAGGAGGGATATGAAGGAGGAGCACCTGATTGAGAAGGTGACAAAGGCCTGGCTTAGGTGATGGGCCATTACTATAGTCAGTGAGGACATAAGGGAGGCTGCAAAAGAGGAGGGAGGAGGAAGAGCAGATTCTATGGGGCCTTGGAAATGGGAGGCCTGAGAATGGGCTTTGAGAAGGATGACTTGATCTGATTGTACAAGAGGTCCCTCCTCTGGCTGCTGAGTGGAGAATAGATTCCTGGGACAGTGGGCCTGTGTGGAACCTGCTGCAGTAATGCGGATGAGACTCAGTGATGATGCCCATAATGAAGCTGCCCAGAAACGGTTGGATTCTGTGTATTTTTCATTTTGCTTTATTTATTTATCTATGTATTTTTGAAACAAGGCCTTGCTATGCAGTTCAGGCTGGCCTCAAACTTGTGTCAATCCTGGTTTATTTTGGTGAAGCTTTATTTATTTGTTTATTTATAGGGTTTTTTGTGAAGCTTTTTGTTTTTAAGTTTATTTATTAAGTAATTAATTAATTATTTATTTATTTTGGTACTGGGGATTGAACTCAGGTCCTTGCGCTTGCAAGGCAGGCCACTGAACCACTGAACTAAATCCCCCCCCCGCCGCCCTAAGTTTTTTTAAATTGTTATTTTGTTTTTGTTTTTTAGACGGGGCCTCACTATGTAGTTCAGGCTGTCCTCAAACTCACTATGTGGCCCTGATTGGCCTTGAACTTGTGATCCTCCAGCCTCAGCCTCCCAAGTGCTTGGGTTACAGGTGTATGACACCATGCTTGGCTCCTACCTTTGATAGATGCAAAACTGCTACCATTTGTACTTGTCTTGACCAATTCTTTGTTCAGCACTGAAAGGAACCTAGGAACCCCCTGTAGAAGGAAATGCAATGCCCCCAAACCTCCATATATTTTGATGGTAGAGCCAAGCTCAGCTGGCGGTTTGGAGGAAGGCATGTATGTGAGAGAGATGATGCTAAGGGATGGAGTGACCATCTAGTCTGTGTGGAAGCCTGTGTTGGTCATGGGTTGGGGATGGGGGCAGCAGTTCAGCCAAAGATGAGTTTAGATGAAATGCTAGATAGATGTCACATCTGGAGCGAAGAGCTCTGGACTTCAGGTAAGATATGAAATCACTGGTGTGTAGATGGCGTAAACTTTAGAAGATGAGGGTAGAGAAGAGATGGGCTAGTACAGTTAGAGAAAAAGACACTGAATAAGTCACTCCCTTTCCCCATCTAACACTAAACAGCACCCAACAGTTATTCCTGCTTCCACTATCCTGAGAGATTAAATAAATAAATAAAAGCCTAGATTGACGAGATCACTGGCACCATGGGAGATTCCGTGGGAGGCTCCAGAAACCAGAGATACCTACCCTTTAAGTTCTGAAAACTTGAGTCATCAGCCCCTTTTTTTCTGTTGCTGTTGCTACCTTTCCCATGATCTTCAATAAATGTAGCTCCTTACTACTGGGTATATGCTTGGCAATTCTTTCCTCACTGTAACAAGTACCTGGACTATTATTGGTCCATTCAGTTGTAACATCTGGCAAGCCAGGCAGGAGGACATCAAACCTCAGGAGACCTCACTGGACAACAAGTGAAGGGACATTATTTATTTATTTTTGTATTGGGAATCAAACTCGGGTTCTTGAGCTTACAAGGCACGTGCTGGAACCACTGAGCTAAATCTCTGGCCCAAAGGGACAGTATTGTACAGCAGCCCATGACCTCGCCAGACATTGGAGGGATCAGCAGCTCAGACTTTGGAGATAGCAGAAGTGATCAACCAGCAACCCGGCAGCAAGGAAGGTAACTCCCCACCCACTTGGGAGACCCTCTGTCTTTCTCTTTCTGGGCAAAGAATGGACTCTCAGGAGGAGAGGTAAACCAGTGGCTGCCTGGAAAAGACTAGATTGGGAAATGGCCTTTTTGGGGGACAGAAGGACCCCTGCCCATAAGTTGTGTTTATATCCTATTGATGCACACAATGTGGAAAGTCTGTCTCAGGCCTCAGCAGGATGGGAGTAAGCCCAGCAGAGCAGGGGAGAAGGCTGGTTCAGGTAGACTAGTGCTTTCTCCTAGCTGCCCACAGCAGGGGACCAGGAGACAAAGACCTGGCTTGCCTACATGACTGCTTTTTTCTGTGGAATGCTTGGTAACTTTCTCTAGACTTGAGCAGCTCTTTGTTTAGCATCAAGGGTGTTTGTGCTCCCCATAGGTCACAGGCTTAAGAGTGTTCCGTAGGTTTTAGTATTTTTCCTTCTCCTTTTCTGATCCTTTCAACCTCAAGCTTTCAGCTAGCAGTGTTCAGTTTGTTTGATTGTTGGTTCTAAATAGCTCAGGGAAATACAGGTAACAGGCACAGTATCTTCCCACATGGGAAGACAGGAGCTGGTCCATTGAAACCTCCTGCCACCACTTCTGTACAAGCCAGTGAGTGGCAGCTGGCTCAGCCAGCTCTAGCTGACTCATCTCTTCTGGGTCCCGAACCCTCCCTGCCTAAGCTGTGGCCTCCTAGGGTAGTTTGCTGATCTTGCTTTGCTCTCCTTTTTACTTTTGTTGTGACAACTGTAGCTTTAAATTTATACTGTATAATCTGTATTTGCTGGCTGAATTTACATGGTGCATGACTTTTTTTGAGATTCTGTCACAGATGTGTATGCTTTGTGGCTTGATCTAGTGATTTGGATTTTCTCTAGGATTTTAATTGGTGATGGGGCATTGAGGGAGTAAGATGGTTCTGAGCTCTTTAACTAGAAGATGAGTTGTGTTTATAAGGGGAAACTCGATGGGTCCAAAGGAAATAGCACTGGTGCTTACTTACGGTTAGAGACATCCAGCTCCAAAGGGTTCAGTTCTATTCTACCAGGCATTGCCTGATGTGGGAGAAGGACAGTCTCAGGAGATGCCCTGTCAGGTCCCCACCATGGGGACTGATCCAGGCACAGATCTGCTATATTCCAAGGAATTCAGCTTTACCAGGTCATGCCCCTGGGGCTGAAAGGCTCAGGCTATTAGAAGATGCCCTGTCAGGTCCCTGCAATGGGAATGCTGACCCAGGGACAGGCCTGCTAGAATCCTAGAATCTAATTTTTACTCCTCCTATCCACAGATGGGAGCAATCTCATCTATCCATTCTGAATCCCCACTCAAATATTTGTTTTTGTTTTGTTTTGTTTTAGATAAGGTTCTTGGTGTGTAGTCCAGGCTGGTCTTCAGCTTATTATGTACTCCAGACTGGCCTCAAACACA